AGTGAGTCAAGCCCCAGCTGACTTGTTGAAATGCAGAAATGTGTGGGCCTCGTTCCCCCACCTACCCACACACCTCTCTGAGGATTTCAACTATTTTGTTTTAAACAGGAAGCGCTACTATGGGCTGGATCCCCATCACCTTTGACCTCTCACCACTTCATTCAAAAGGAATCCTGAGGTGGATGTATATCTAGACACAGAGAAGACGAGTGCACAGCTAATTTTAACCCGGTGGAGCCACAGAGGCCCACACTGTCTACCCAGTCCTCAGGAGAATAATAGGAAACACATGTTTGACGATGGAGCAGCTCGTATCGTAAAGTGGGCTCACATTACTTATCACACCGCGTTTCCTTACAATCAGTGTGATAGAAAGTATATTCTTCACTTAATATTTTAGGGTTTATTTCTCTAAATTATAAAGGCTATTTCAGTTTTTAATACATTTTATTGCTCTCTTTGTTTCACAGGCAGCCTTTAAGGACATGGAGGAGTAAGATTTCTGTGGTATCACTATCAGCCATAACAGCATACAAGTCACTCCCTCTAATCTGTTACTGAAGCCTAACTGTAGGTGAAAAGTGGACAATATGAGATTTGATTATTAGTTGAAGTCCAGTCTAAAGCAAATGCATATTTGAAAAGTCAAGGGAAAGTGGTACATTGTTATAAAAATGTTTTTCCAATAAAAAAACTGAAAAATGTATTGTGCATCTGGAGGAACTGCAGCCCTGGAAAGAGAATCTGATGACAAATATTAACAGCCACAAGTTTAGACTTCATGGAAGAAGAAAGTCATTGTCAAAAGTCAGACTTGAGTCCTGATTATTATTATTTTTTGGCTCAAATCTTATATGGGATGCAGCAAATCCCCCAATTCTGGAACAAACTTCCAGAAAACTGCAAAACAGCTGAAACACTAAAACCCCACCTCTTTAGAGTTGCTTTTGAACCATAATAAATGAAACATTGACCAACATTTTGATGTAAAGTGATGACGCTGGACAAAATGTAATGTTTATTGGTTCACTGTGTGAGATGTCTTTTATGACTTTGTATTTTTTTTGTTTTTATGTTTTTATGATATAAAGCACTTTGAACTGCCTTGTTGCTGAAATGTGCTACACATCTTGATTGACTTTTATGAAATAAGATATTCTGAAAAACAGTGACCAACACCCTGAATACCCCAGCACAACTGCGAAACATGGTGGTGGATGTATCTGAAAAACTGGTATTTGAGTTTATGGGAAGTGGAATGAAGCTAGACACAGGGCAGTACTGGAAGAAACCCAAATAATTTTACAAAGGGGAGGAAGTTCATTCCAGCAGGACAAAGACTCTAAATATTCTGGCAGAGCTACAATGGGATTGCTTAGACCAAAGGATATTAATGTGTGAATAGCCCAATAAAAGTCTAGACCCACATCCAGATGGCAATAAATGGCAAGATTGATATTCACAGATCTGTCTTTGATCTGACTTAGTTTGAGCTACTTGGTTTGAAGAACAAGACAAAATGTCTCTTTCTAGATCTGTAAAACTTGTATAACATACCCAAAAAGACCTGAAACTGTAACAGTGGTTCTAATAGTCAGCTCTGACCTATTTAAGGTGATAAAAGTTGACTGTTTTCCCATGCTTTAGCTTTGTGATCTTAGACATTTTACACATGGTTGTAGCGCCCCTTAGTGGTAGATGCTTGCTATTGTAATAGTTGCCGTTTGAGGCAACTATTACAATAAGAAAACATATGTTTTCTTCAGCTAAGTGAAGAAAACATATGTGCATGCCATTGAGTATAACTTTACTTAATCACAAAGGTTCAACTCAATATTACAATAACCATAAAGTACTTTCACCAGCCTGTGGCTGCTTGTGTAATTAGATATCCACTGAGTATGCTGTAACTCACATTTCCCCTATTATATTTTTAAGCTCTTTTAATGTGTTGCGGCTTGAAAGCAAAACAAAGCAAAACAAAACAAAGGTCAAACTGTGATTGAGACACTTTCCTCTGGGTGGGAAGATTTTTGCCAAAATAGAGTAGAGTGCAAGTAAAACGAGTTCAAGCAATAAAACTGTTAGAGTTGTGTTAGAAATGGTGCACAGATCCAACGGAGTGCCCTCAGGAAGGAAACAGTTTTGGTCAGTAGTATGGATTTTACATACCCTCATCACCATCAGCATAAAGGCCAGATTGATTTGGGGTGTTTAATTATTTTACATTTTTTAACTTTTTATTTATTTTTTCATTGTGAATGGTGACAACATATGGAATTTACAAGTTCAATAATAAACTCTTATAATTTATTGTATATTTTCTGCAGTCACAATAAAAATTTATTGTATTTGCAAATTGTTGAAAAATCAATGCTTTCTGTAGACTCTAATGCTTTCAAGCCACATTTAAGGGATGTTTGGGATAGTTTTTCCTGTTTCCAACATTCAGCTGCTGAGCTGTGATGAAGATGAAAAATTCAAAGTCAGTCCTCCTCCTCATTATTCCATCCGCTTTGACAGTCACACTAAAACAGACCCATATCATCATGCTACTACTACCAAGCTTGGATGTTGGAATGTGGTTCTTATGCTTAATCTCTGACAACAAAACTTTTCTCCAGCTGCCAATTGGCGTATTCATTTGGGTAGCTAGTTTCAGTCCTGTCTGGATACGTCAACTTTGGAGCTTCTTTTCCTTTTGGCTCCCTCATGGTTTGTGACGATGTAAAACTGGCAAGATTGTAGGTAGAGATATTTAAGTTTCTACAAATTCTGGTTTACGATATGAACCTTAGTTTATTTTTTTATTTTATTTTTTTACAGTTTCCCTTAATTTGAAGGTAAAAGTTTGGATAGACAGTTGAAATATCAACACAGTAAAGTGTACCAAAGGGGGTAATAAACCTAAGCAAATAAAAACTGGCTTTGAAAGGCAAACAGTCATGAGTGGCCCTCCCAAAGCAGTTACCTACCATCAAGGAGGTTTGTGGTGTAAGCTTAAATGGCAGGTCCAAACTGGAAACTTATTTGGGCCTCCAAACTGGAGGCCACAATTAAGATTGTTTCCAGCAGCAGATCGCTGACATTAAGACAGGAGATGAGGGCTACAATTGGTGCATTCTGATAACGGAAAGAAATAAAGTTTTTTCCAAATGCCTTTTAAAACAAGATCTCACTGAAGGACTTAATGAGTAAACAGTAAAACAGTCCTAGCAGTCAGTTTCCACATCTGCACACTCTTTTTGTCAAGATGGACAAATTAAACATGCTTGAATAAAGGCTTCAGTTGCTCCAGGGGAGTTTTAGTGGTTTGCATATTCAATGCCAGGATTGTGCAGCTGTGTTGTGTTATGAGAAAGCAGCATTCTACGTTACTTATCATTTGATGAGCGTTCTCTGCTTTTATTTCCACTGTTAAATTAACCAATTATGACAGAGAGAGGGCTGTTTTTGGTGCTTAATGAATTGAAATTCCTGCTTATGTGTGAAATTTACTTAATTAATCTCTGTGCACACTCTCTTCTCCAAGTCCTTCAGTCATATGGATGGTTTAGGAGAGACAGTGCTGCTTTTGTTTGAAAGCATTGACCTAAATGGCAAAAGCACATTTCTATCATTGCTTTATTTCTAAATTAGTGAAACAATTTGACTACAGTGCAGAAAGTATTCATACATTTTTTTGTGGAAAAAAAAGATGGCAGTGAGAAAGGGAACATCATCTCTATCAGTTGTGTGTTTTTTTTTAACCTGCATTATGGGATGTCTGGTCCTTCGCAACCCCTACTGAGAAAGTGACACGTGACAGTTTTCAACAAAGACTTTCAAGGATCCCAGTTTCATTCCAGTCTGCCCCAGTGCTTTTCAAAAAGCACTTCCATGTGTCTTTAACTGTTGCCAAATTTTCCTAAAACCCATGTAGACTTCTCATGTATTGATCAAACACTCTGCTCCAGATGAACAGAATACAAGTAAAAATAATCTAAATGAAAAATGTTAAAATGTTATTAAAAACACTGAAATACCGAGGAAAAACAACAAGAAAAATAATAAAAAAATGTTGATACTTCAAATCACTTAGTTGTTTTAGAGACAAAGTCCTATTCAGGGCAGAGTTTATTTTATCTTCTTAAACAGTTCCTTTGAACAGATGTCTTACAACTAAATAAAAACACAAAAAGTAAAACTGATGTATATCGGTGTACATCTATGTCTTAAATACGTTTGACTGATTTTGTGTTTATAATTTAATACCTCCGGAAAATGCCTTGTACCTTTGCATTATAGCTGATTTTCTTGGAGGAATTCATAAAAAGCATAAAGCTATAGAGGTGCACCTTATTGAATTAGAATCCCATTGAAAAGTGCTACTTTCCTAAATATTAAATTAGAAAAGTGAAACTATTTCATACATTCATTATAGATAATGATATAAACCATGGGTTCTTCAGGGGCGAGGGAGGAAGGGGCACATGAGGGAAAAAACATAAATACAGTAACTGCAGACATTTAGCCAACTTTACCAAGTCTATGTCAAAGATGAAATGGTTAAATTTGTAGAATCAAAAGCTAGGTTGAGTAGGAGACTGAGGAAGGATGGAAGTATGACCATAATTATTTGAAACTGGGAAGTTTGTCCATTTGTTTCTGAAGGGGGAGCTAGCTTTCCCACACTTTGAAAACCCTTGATTTCGTCTAATGAGGGACCTATTATGCAAAATATATCCAAAAGCCCATCCAGTTGTTTTCTGGAAAAAAAGTTAATCTATTTTGGTGTCTGGAAAATTAGCCTTTTCAAAAACCTCTTTACACTGACGTTAATCCGCGGGCACTGCCCCTTACAGCAATTCTAGTCGAGCCCAGTCCTTCTCATAGCAATCCGCGCAGAGCTAAACCCACTACTGCTCGTCTTAGTAGAAGACGTGCAAGTTTGGTCAGCTGGTTCTACTGCTCTATGTGTTGTACAATGGCTGCTGGAAAAGACAAGTGTTTTGTTGACCATTCAGAAATCCCCTTCTGTATCTTTGACGGTTGTTCAGGAGGCTTCACTTCTGCTTCTGGATTTGACTGAGGGTCAGAGATATGGTTGTAAATTTTGTTGTAGCCATTTTCACATGAAATGAGAGTGTAAACACAGCCAGCAGCAACTTTATTGCATAAAACTGCTAATTTTGAAAGGAACTCAAAACACACAGAATTTAGCAGGTGAAATAATGTCGTGCAAAGATTATAATGAAGATGTTTGGTTTAGCCCACATTAATATCCCAACATTTTTCAAAGAAAGGATTGTAGTTCCCTGTTAAGGTTACGTTTTCTGCTATTGTTTGTGCAAATTTTTACGTATTTTCTGCCGCACTTCTTCCTTCCAGTTAACTTTTCATTAATATGTTTGGAAACATTAACCAGCCAGCTACTGTAGCAATTAGATGAATTAGATTAGCTTACCCAGTAGTAACGACCATAGCATAACGTGTCTGAATTGTTTTTTTTCCCCCATGCAATAGTCCTACATTGAATTTGGGTTTTATTTGCCTGGCATCTAAATCAACTGAAAAAAATGCCAGATGATTTTACTTCTGAATTGAATCACTACAATAAATATGTTCAAACTATAATATAATTTACAGAAACACCAGTATGTTGCCATAACCTTCCAAAAGAGATTGTAGTGTTTATCATGTTGAAACTGACACCTTTATGATTCCTGTCTACTTTTTAGACATAAAAATAATTTATACGTTATGTATAAGACTAGTTTCAGATATGCAATAATAAAGTCTAAACTTAATAGTTTTAAGAATTACCAGGTATATTTAACAGCCTAAAGTGCTACAGCTGCTTAGAAGCTACAATTGTACATGCTAGCTATAGTGTGTTAGCTACAGCATGCTAGTTGTCCGTCCAGTTGATTCGCCAATATTCGTCTCTTTCCGTCACGGCCACGAAGTTGTCCCATTGGCTCCAACTGTCTGCCCGCGGCGGGGAAGGGAGAGGAGGCGGTGGCGATCCGCAGCTCAATGACGGCAGAAGCAGTGTTGACAGTTGAGAGCCGACACAGCCCACAGCTGGGACTCACACAGGCCTAGCTATATCCGAAACAGCGTGAATGTGTGTCAAGGGAAACACGGGGTGCGAGACATAGCTTGTCGCACCGCCTGCGAGATGTTAAGGACCGTGTGCGGACTGCGTGACAATACAGCGCGGTGTCGAAGCGGAGCGGACGCACCGAGCGGAACCAGTAGTACAAGTAAATAAATATATGGGTTAACTCTCTACAGGCACTTCCTGGGAACACACATTATATTAGAAAGGGAGATTAGGTCGGTGAATTCCTGGAAACACGGAGTCCAGAATGGAAAATGTAGCGCTTGTAGGCTGGGGTTTATTTTCAGAAGTTGACGCTCAGACTTCGGCTTCCAGCGGCGTGTAGGAGGCTCGTGTGCCAGTGAACCACCATCCGTCTTGCACGTTTGACAGATAGCCAATCAAATCTGTTATTCAAATCGCTGCTGTTATGTCAGTGACCTATATCCCCGGCATGAACGCCAAAATCCAGCAGTAACCTCCCCTCCAGTCCAGACAGCATGGGGATCAACGGGATAGAGATTCAAGCGAAGCCGTCCACAGAGAAGTCCCGGACGGAGCAGCCGGGCGCAGAGCCTCAGATGGAGCCGAGAGATGCTCCCCCGGAGGCGGACGGCAGCAAGGATGGACAGCCGGCGGGTAGCGAGTGTAAAATCGCGAAGGAGGATAATGCCGTGCAGCTGATAGACGGAGAGTCCAAGCCTACTCTCTCCGCCTCACCTGATGCTGAAGCTGGGGTGCAGCTGGAGATGCACGGCCAGGGATCCGGATTTGTCCCGCCAGAAGGAGGCTGGGGCTGGCTCGTGGTTTTTGCTGCAACCTGGTGCAACGGGTCCATCTTCGGGATTCAGAACTCTTTCGGGATCCTCCATACGATGCTGGTGAAGGAGCACACGGACCCGGAGGACCAAACCTCCCAGTTCAAAGTGGGTGAGTACGAAAAACAGCAACAAGTGGACCCAGGTGATGCACATGTGGCTTAGAGATGCCCCGGCAACCCTAGAAAACTTAGATGTTCACCAATTTTACTTCGAATACAGTAGAATCTATTTTCTCAGTTCGTTAAATGTAACAAAAATAAATAAAAACCGGGAATTTCCAACCATTTTCAGTACATAAACAACCATCAAATCACTTTTTTAGTTTCATTTTTCAGTGTAAGCTTTGATGCTCAAACCCTTTCATTTTCTGTTAAATTCAAAATTATTACCTCTCCCAAAGAACATGTATTTTATCTTTTATGTGCATTTAAGCATATGATAGCATGGAGTTCTTATGGGATAGCTTAGACCAAAATATTTACAGACAGAAAATGTTTAAATAAAAATAAACAACACACTCTAATTGCTTTTAAGTAAAATAACATAATTACTCCTACTGCTGACATTGCAGAGAGATTGTATTTACAGTTATTGCAAAGCTATATACAGTCTAACTTTTTTGCTATTTTGATATTGCATAGAATAAACTTCTGGTAAAACAGTCAAATATGTCCGTTTTGCAAGTGGGGGAGATCTGACGTCTTCTTTCAGGGAGCTGTCTGGCAGTGCTCAGCAACTGGATTCTGAGTTTCTTTATGTCATACAGCCAGAGAAAACTCCAGTCACTCTGAACCTTTCTCTATTTAAACAGACTTTAAGATGTTGTGATATTATGATGAAAACATTTTGCAGTTTTGAGTTTCTAACTTAAACTCAAACTTAAAATCTCAACCTATGCATATCATCACATTATTCAAAGTCCCAACAATATTTTAGATTTCTTGTGTGAGATTATTCCGGCAGTGTTAAACACTTGGTGTAATCACATGACCCTGTAAGCAGCAACAGTAACACTAATGTGTAGCATGCCCTTAAATGACCACATCTGTGTGTTATTTGTTCAGTAGCAGCACTGCAGTAAAGTCTGCTGGAAATTAGCTGTAATTTGTGAGCAGGGAACATTTTTAATATTTTTTCTTTTTCATTTTGAGGCTTCAAATTATAGCACACATAATTAAATAAAGTCAGATTTATGAATAACTATAAAAAAACAGAAGCAGGACAATTTTAAAAAAATTTAGACCTTGGAAAGTTACAGCAGTTCTATTTTGCAAGAATATATACATATGGTAAAATATTAGCACTGGATTCATTATAATCATTCAGCCTGCAGTTATATAAAGACCTATAAAGGTGAAAATGCACGTGTGTTAGCTGCTGCTTAGTGAGTTATTTCTTTTGGGTGTTATTTTTGGCATTGGGTTCCTCCTTTCGTTCTTTCCCGTTCTCACCATACAATAACACTGCAGGGTATTTTTCTGAAGTGTTTCACAGTCACCAGCTACGGTAAAAGACAATGTGTGGGAGGAGACTGAACGTCTGCCTGTAATTAATTATCATAAATGGCAAAGTGTGGAAAAAAATAAATGAAGACCTTCTCTTGTGTTATTATTTTTCTAAATATAAATGTGAATTGGTTGGATGCTGTGTTTTTTACTCTGCATTGAGGAAATTGTTTGGACTGGAGTGACTGCTTTAGATCCAGTGTCTGTATTGCAGAAATTTAAGAGTCATTCTCTTGGCTGGCCTTCAAGTGGAGAGACTATTGAGAATCACTTTAAAAAAGCCTACGAAGCCAAAATAATAAATTTTTCTTCACAGGTTGTTAAAGATCTGTTTCACTTTTATGCTTCATCTCAAATATTTATTTTACCAGGCCTTCAGGGATGCAAAAGGAAATCTTGAAATACCACAACGGGGTGTGCATAAATACATTCTTCTTTTAACAGCAAAATGGTGGTGAGGTGCGTGGGTTGCGAAACACAGATGGCGTTGTTACTGCCCAGTGATTGCAGCAAGTCACAGTTTAATTCCAAATCTTTTCACATTCACCATGAAAGACTAATGTTTTTTTTTAAAAAAAAAAGACGTTTAAGAAAATCGTGGTGCTTTAATGATTGGTGGGGGAGCGAGCCCCTGATGAACACGGGTGTGCCCAAAGAGGGAGAGAAGTTCAAAACAGCTCGCTGCACCGGCTGCACAGTTTGCGAATAAGGGGAATGTGTGAGACGGGGGCAGAAGAAAGGCTCGACAGGAGCGGCGGATTAATTTTTTATCAACGCCTAAAGTAATTTTGATCTTTGTGCCACTGATCTGAAACAGAGCAGAAGGAGCGCTGCATTGAACAGGAAGCATATTCCTCACTCTTTTCATACAAATTTGAAAGAAAGGAGGCTGGGAAGTTTTTGAAAAACTGCATTAGACGTTTTTGTTGGTAAAGTTGCGACTAACAGCTTATCTGCTTAAAATGCCCCTTAACGACTCCAGGCACGGTTGAAACCAAGCAAGTAGAAACTAGTCAGACTAACTTGAGATGTGCTCTTAAAACTGTTGTAGCATTGCCCAAGTATGTCTTCCAAATAGTTCTGTATAATTACACCATTGTTGTCATTGTGTGGCCTTGCTCTGTGTTATTTGACTTGGCCCTGGCTGACAGAGGGGTAGGATGAAACTTCTGAAGTCCATGCAAAATATGGGAGGATGATGACGGGTTTATTTTAGTGTTAAAGGTTACAGTTATTTATCTGTTATTCTATTCTTGGGGTATAAAGGTGTTTTAATTATACGGTAGAAAAAGTGCTGCTGTGGCGTTTCTTTTGTCTCAGCTCTATGGAGAATAGAGTAAAGCCACTCTGCCCCTCCCCTACCTGTTGCTTCACACTTACAGGCAACAGGCGGATAGAAAGCAAACGTGGTTTACTCTGTTTAAAAGATGCAAACATTTGGTTTATTCAGTATTTATGGTTATGCTAACTAGTTGGAAGCTGAATACAGAACATAAGTAAAATAAATGAAGTTAATATATTATTAAACCAAGTAGTACTAAAGCATAATCAAGATTCAAGAGCAAGGTCCTTAATCCATGACAGGATCCCTTCAGAAAGACCTGCAAATAATGAGAATGTCTATCATCTTAACTCAAAGAGTTAATATATATATAGGAACAGAGCAACTAATTCATTTTAAATCATATTTTTGAGTTCAACTATATAGTTGACATGAATTAAACATAAAAAAATCTAATTTTTTTATATTTTCATGAAAGTTTTGGTTGAACATTTGGCTCTGATACATAGTCTCTTTTTGGTTTTGAAGTTTTTTTTTTAATGATTAGTGTTTGTAATCTGATAATCAGTTATTTAGTGTCATATGTTTTTGTGTAAATATTTTGATTCAGTAAAAACATTTATCAAACCTTGGCTTTTTGCCAATTTGTAACTTAATGTCACCTGGAATAAATAAGTGGAAGTTCAGATAAATTTTGCACCAACAAACTGTACTAATAACCTTTTCTGTCCTCATAATTTTAAGGGTCAATTAGAAAATTGTTGGATTTTCTTGCACTGAGGAAGAGAGGGACCACTTTTCAATGGTTTTACATTCACCAGAAACATTAGAGGAAATTGTCAAGCATTAAATTTTGTGATCAGTGGGTGATCTGCTTTTCTTGAGGGCACTCAAACAAAGCAGAATGAGAGCATGTCTCAGGCACAATGAAAGCACTCTCCAGGGTCCAAACAAGTTCATTATGACCCGAACAGCCTCTGGTGTATTGTCCACGTTGGTACTGAATTGTCTCCCTGCAGTCTGAGATTTCTCCAGGATCTCTGCTGGCAGCTTGAAATCCCAAGTTGGCAGAACCAAAGGCACGGCTGGCTTTCTGGCATTCCAGAGGGAAGGGGAATGGGTTCAGGTTGGATCATGGTCTCATGAGCTTTCACACTGTTATATGAGCACATATATACAGATGGTAGAGATTTGCTGTTTTTATGAGCGGGTGTTTGATTTGTCTTTTATTTGGAACCTTATTTAGTAAGGTTGGAGAAAGAGAGGAGAAGAAAATGCATCCAGCAGATGTCCTCTTGACCATAATTTTCTGTGTATCAAAAACACCACTAAATAGATCGATTTATCTATTTAGAGAAAGATCCTGAAGCATATTTTGCAACTTGTAAACATATGTATATCTCATATTCTTTTGCATTAATATTGATATCCAAACAGGTAGCTTTCATCGACTCGCAGTTTGGAGTAACTAAAAATCTTTAATCATCAGGAGGATTTTAGGAACATTCAGAAAGCGGCAACAAATAAGTCATGAAGCACGAGGTTTCTCCCAGAAAACTTCCTAAGCGTGGTGATTTGGTGCTAGGACAGTCATTCATCTAGCAGCTTGTTGGTTTTTTTAATTAAAATATGTTTAAAATTGACACGAAATTTGAAAATATCACTTGATAATTATGTGTTATTGAAAGATTGGAAGACTAATACCTGAACACCAACTATAAAGACTTAAAAAATGCAAAAATAAGTATTGCTTAGCCTGGTTGGGGCACAAGGAAAGACTGGCAACCCACCACGCTCATAATACACTGGGGGGAAACCCTGAAGCATCCACTGATTTCTGCTGTCAAAACTAATTTTTGAACTGAGGCTCTTTGAGGATACTACCCTCTTATCTGTTGCAGATGGTTTTGGAAATGTTTGTCCAGCACTTTTAATTTCTTACACACATGAAGTTTGCTCCAAAGAAGTCATCACATCCAGGTAGTGTGTGATAAGTGATCTGATGTTGGGATTGACTGTAATTTATTAAAGAACCTTGGACTCTTAGCTTTTCAGAGTTTGCTGCTTCTCTGCAAGAAGTTTTTAAACCTGAACAAATTTGTCCTTCAGGAGAAGGATACTCAAAGTTTTATAACACTGTAAGGACAGTCACCATCTCCAAAATTATCGAAAAGGCAAGCTGACCACTGATCAATGAGGCTAACAAGACACTGACACCAACACTAGGGTTTGTCAGCAATCTGCTGTAGAGTAATGAGACAGAAGCCTTTTGTTATCAAAGAAAACATCCAAACATGGGTAAAATTTCCCAAAACCTTGTTG